CCAGGCCCGCTCAAGTTGATAAGTTTCAGTAGCACATTAGCAAATAGCTTTAGAAACGATATTGAGGCGAAAGCGTTGTCAGCCTGCTTATATCACGCTTGTCAGGCTTAATGCATGCAATCATGACTATGCTAGGCTATGAGTAAAGCAAAACTTTTGCAATAAAAAAAATTATTTATGGCTATGACGCAATATAAACGAGCACGCGGAAAACATGGAACAATGAATCTACAACTCTCTTACTGGTTAATCACCATAAATTCGCAAGATTAATCTTCAAAGTCTTGTTTCTTGTTTTTATTTGTTTGCCTGCACCATCTAAAACGCGCAACTTTCTCGCTAAATATCACAGCTTCTTGAAATAATGCGTTTTGAAGAGCCATAATTCCCTGCTCACCTACAATTTTAGCAAAGAAAGAAGCACCTCACTCCAGCACAATTTTCGCCCCAACAAAAAAGAAAACTTTAGCAGTGAGTTGCAAAATAATTTCCAAATCTCTCCCATGACCCTATAAATCTTTTGAAACCAGTCCATACCTCAAGATTGATGCCTTGCGTTTGTAAAAATTTTGTTGGCACGTCGTGCACAACCTCCTCGCTTTCGATGCAACGTTCTATACCAGGTGTTTGATGAACAATAAATTTTTCCACTTCCCTAAAAAAGTGATAAATTAGTGCGAATTTCAGGTAAGAAGAGGAAAAATCTGCTCACGTTTCTACAATTGTCGCCAAGTCAAGTTTGCTTTTGTTACCAAGGGGTAGTTGAAAGACAACCTCACACCAGCGCTCCGAGTTCACATCAAACTTGTAATCAACAATCAAATTCGATTGGGAGATCACAAACTGGAAAGTGACATCATCACCAGGGCGAGCATCTCGTGAATGTTGATTGAGTAAACAAGTTACACTGCCTACAGTGCATAAAGCAGGTCATGGCGTAAGCCAGTTATAAAAATCCTAATATTCTAGACCCAAGTCTTGATCTTGAATGTTAAAAAAAAACCAAAAACTCTGCTAGAAAGAAACAGATGAGAAATTTAATTCGAGCCTCCCCCTACCTTCACCCTCTCATCGGCGCTTTTCTTCTTTTCTTGAATAGCGTTCTCTTTCTGTTCTTCCTCCATTTCCTCTAGGTCTTCCCTCTCTTTTTCGCTATCTTCGTCTTCTTCTTGGATATCATTCTAAAATGAGTGATACTTCTTCTCAAACTTCCGATTAGCTAGATGGATGTTATGTGTTAGTTACACAACCACGACATCGTTTTATTTATACAATTTCTGCAATGTCCGAACACTCGTGAGCTCAGAAAATGAACAGAAAGCCAGAAAATTGGAAGAAAAGCATAGGCTATCCACCATTTTCTTTATTTTCTTATTGACCTTCCCCGTTAGTGAAAGGTTCCAAGAAAGGAAAGTCCATCCTTATTTGATTCGCGTACGATAGTAAGCATGAAACAGGACTTAAAGAACAGGATTTCTCACTAATTTAGCATTATACCCCCAGAACATCTTAAACCGAGATCTAAGTAAATGTTTGCAGCTTAATTGTTACAATCTGCGTAGCAGCTCCAAAACTGGTCACTAGTGAAAGTGAGCTCAGCTACCCAGCGTACACACAACAGATAGCACTTTCAGCAACATTAATTATGCGGTGACAGCTCGCAACCGACTTGGATGACAAATTGCTCTGTCGGCGCGCTGCAGCAGCCAGCTAGCGTGCAGCATCCGATCTGCACGTTGTTCAACCCAATATCTGCAAGATTCCGCGCAAAAAGATTAAATGTTTTCTAGTAAACTCTTAAGAAAAAAACCATAGTTTTGGCAACAATGATTAAGACCAAAAAATGAAGCAAGGTGATGTTCAGGTTCTATAGATTCTTCACTGTTTGCTCATTCCCTGGCTTCCCGTACAATCAACTTCGTCTTCTTCTCATGCAAGTACACGAAATCAAAATCCCTTTCGAAAGGAAGGCAAAACCTATGGCGCTCTCATACCTTTGTATTTCCTTCAATTTATTTGTCAAATTCTACTCAAAAATTCGACATCAATTCCATCTACAGTGATTGGGACCTGCTGTACATTTATTTCCCAGCAAAATCTTCGTATATTTGGAAACGAAAGGACACGTGATCAATCAACTAATCCGAAATAAGAAGTCGACAAATTTCGTTGAAACTAGAGGGATGATAAAACACTGATGAAATGTTGAGACGACAACAAACCTGCTTTTCTTCATCATCTTTCTCCACGTGGACACGATCTTCTTCCTCGCCTTCGTACTCTGCTGCGTCGTCGCTGAAAATGGGAGCTAGCCAAAGGGAGATGCTGAGCACTAGTAATGCAAGATACAAATATGTTTGAAGTTATTAGATTGGAAAAAGTTCGGAGTTCTGTCTACGCAACAACAACAGAGATTAAATAAAGCAACGTACAGATGCCTATCATGTAGTCTCTGCTCGGCAGCGTCAGCCTCCCTTCCGCCAGCTGCTTCCTCATCTGACGAGTTCCCATCGTCCATATTATGGGCTCGACTGAACAGGAAAAACTTTGAGCGAATTTCGCAAAGTTGAACCTCTGACATCCCTTACCGTGACAATGGACCATCTCGCTGACCCAATCCAGCATTCAAATTACCAGCTCGTAACTTTCTATGCTGAACCTGTTGATATTCAAGAAGATCACGATACTTCTTTCCAATTGATGTCGCGAGTGCCCGCAAAAACCTTCGTTCTAACTAAAGAGTTGATTTGTAAAAACTGACGATTTGATGTACAAAGAAGCAACCTCCTGCAAGATAACTTTGCGCTTGAGATGTTTGGCATTTTGCTCCCTTTTGGAACTGGAGAGTATCTCTATTCGAAGGAGATAACGTCGCCAGCAGTCACTAAAGTAACAAAAAGATGAAAACAAATAATTAGTAACTAAATTTTCCTTGCGCATATCAAGTAAGTCAGAGCTCCAACATTCAATACCTATTAGTGAGATTAATCCTCTCCTCTAAGGTAAAATTGCGTAACACTTGTTTCAAGAACACCCGATCCAGTTCTCGTCGTATCGCGTCGATTTTTTCTTGTGGCGTACCGGGCAGGATCGGAATCTATAAAAATCGGGACTTAAATAAGCTGCCTCTTTGCTTGGGGCAAATTTTGCAGAAGTTTATCAATCCTTCAGAGGTACAATACAACAACAACGATCAACACCATTATGCTCAAGCACCATATTATTAGATTAGCTTGACAAAA